TTACTTGGTTGCGTGTAACAAAACGGAAGTTTCGTCGTAGAGTATCGGAGATGAAAATGGAGTTTTGTAGTAGCGCAACCGTCGTCGCCAAGACGGGTCCCGTACCGACGGGACGGATACTGCGGGGTAGCAGACCGCGAAGCGTTCGCGTAGCGGTCATGCTGACCCCGCCGGTCGGGAGGATCCCTCCCCATTCCGGTTTTCGTTTCGTAAGTGACCCCACCCTCCCACCCTACGGAGATACGAAGCGGAGAGGTGAACTTCTTAATGTCAGGTAGGCCAACACGGCCTGTAGGCCAACACGGCCTATCCTTCGGACAGGTACATCTATGAGGCAGCGGCGGCATCGAAATCCGTCCAATAGAACCTGCTAGTTCGGCATTTATTCTGGCAGTGCGCTTGCTTTCCGTCTGCTCACAGCGGTTTTTCGACGCCAGTGATTTTTTGCGATACATTACGACTATCGCGATCGTTGTCCTTCATCAAAAGAAAGGTCTGACGAAAGTATGAGAAAAATTCTTGTACATGGTACGCCTGCGTCAACGGTTTCCAAAAGTATGTATCTCCAGCGAGCATGGAGGCTAGGGGGTTTTCCGTGCGGATATCAGATTGTGTTGTTCTATACAGTGGCGATTTGCCCATTGCCTCTCAATTCTACTCGGGATATCGTTTCCCACGGTTCCGCAGAGAAGTTCATCACAGTTTGTTGTTCGGTTCGAGTTCATTATTTATGGCTGTACCTTCTCAAGATATAGTATTTCTTGAGACATACATTTCTGGCTACTGCGTTCACCGTTGCTGATTTCATCGATGGATTTCTCCTTGTCTTGTTCCTTACATGGACAGACATTTTGGACAGTGACGGTCTTGAAGACTACTTTGAGTCCCTCCCGGCAATCCAGTGGAGCGGCGTGCTATCTTTTACCAATTTTCAGCACTCGAATGACGGCAATGGATCCCAGAGGACACGACGTTCTCCATCCCGAGGATGCCGTTACCGGCCATTAGTCCAGCGTGCTGACACTATATAGTTTTGATTTCAGACCTAGCTCAGAACTCCCTCACTTCGGTGGACACACTCAAGTCCAAGGATGGGCCCGCATGGTGGCGATAAGACGCGGTAGTAATCGAAAGTTCAGATGTTATAGAGTGGAATTGGATGATAGGACAAGCAAGCAGTTGTTGGATGGCGACCTGTGGCAGCCTCAGATGCGATCTATCGTAGTTCAGCTTAGTCTTCAGCAACAGATTACTCTCAACATTGTCTCTTTAATTCGTTACGTGGCACCGGCCATCCAACAAGTATCCTCGTTTTCCGATGAGCGCATGCAAACGCATTTGATTTGTTTCATCATACATGGCATACCATCCACATTGTGATGCATAGACATAATTAATGTTCAAGTAGTTGTTACGACCTCGACCAAATGTTAGCGAGCCTGACATATTCATACTCATAATCGTATGTGGGATAGTTCCCGTTGATGCGCTATCGTATGTTGTAGTTTTTACGTGTAGCCCGATATAGGCCATCTAGGTCACAAGGGTGCTCTGATTATCAAACATACTGAATGTAATTGTTATGGTCAGTTATCGACCGCAGTGCGACACGACAGTAAACGATAAACCTTTACCTACCGATTATTTGGTTGCGTGTATACAAAACGGAAGTTTCGTCGTAGAGTATCGGAGATGAAAGTTTTTTTTTTGTTGATCGCTAATATTGATACAGTTCTCCAATTCTCAATTCTCTTGTTTCTCCGAGTGAGTTCGTTTTGACCAGTGGATGGGGAAGTCTTTAAGCACTTCATTTGATACTTTCGAATAATGCAATTTTCTGGCGAAACAATATCATTTATTCCTTCCTTTTCTCCCCATCAATGCTTCTTTCAACTGCTAATTAGCTAAGGCATCAGTTGTTTTTCGTGTCGTTTTACATGTGCTTGAAACCCTTCTTATTGATGAAACTCGAAACAAAACGAATACGTGAGCCGTGTCCGTTCCAGGCTGAGACATGGCTGTCGAGGCTGATCGTCTGGACGAAGAGATCTGTAAGGAGGCATCTGCTTTTACGAAAATCTTCTATGATGCTATGGACCGGAAACGTGATAAAATCAATTATCTTTATTGTGAGAGCGGATCGACATTGGTGTGGAACGGAAATCCCGTATCAGGATGCGATAATATATTCAAGTATGAGTATAGTTAGTTTGCCATATTCTTAAGATGTCACTTTATATCAAAACAATAT